TAGAGTAGGGAGATTCTTTAACTTCTGAGACTGCCAAGCAGCAACTTGGGCATTACTAACAAATCCTGTCCAGAAAGATCCTGGAATACTGACAAGCTTGAATAAACCCTAGCACTTTCTGGCAGGGTTTATGGTGAGGGGAAGGGTCTCCGTCAGTGGCTGTGGAAACACTGTGCCAGAGGCTCGCGGCCCTGCTTCTCCTGTGAGAGCACAAGGCAGGGTCACGAGCCGTTAACCCTCGCGTGAGACTGCCGCATTCGAAGGCTTCGGACGATGCTGACGACAGATGTGTTTCATCTGATCTGATAGGAGGTCTGGCTGAGGGACCAGGGCTCGTGGAACCAGTCTGTGTGAGCCACAAACCTCTTTAGCACTCTGCCTGCAAAAGACAGCGTCCTTTGGTGGATGGCTCCTCCCCGGCTCCGGGAGCACCGGTTTCTAGGCAGAGTCGGGCTCCTGGCGGAGCTGTCTGCCTACCCAGGGTGAAGGCCCATTTCCTGTTCGGACAGCGGTCTGTGGCTTTTCTGCATTGCCATCTGTCCCCCAGCCAAGGCTTCTGTTCCACAAAGGATTTGGGCCAGTTCTTTGCCTTAGTCAGATTTTGAAGCAGAATCAGCCCTATGGTCTTATGTTTTCAGGAGAATGTATCATTAAAAGAAACATATTAAATTGCCGAGACTGCTATCCACAAGCTGTCAAAACTAACTGGGCTTTGAGATGTGGCTATTTAGTTTCTTTCTGGAAACACTCAGCTGTGAATGCAACTTCTAACAACCTACGGAGAGTAAGAGGCAAATCTATGGCCCTGGTATAGGAATCAGGCTCTTGAGGGCTGGTTGGAAGGAGCAACCTCCAGCCGGAAAGCTCTCTGGGAAAGTCAGTGACCTTCGAGTGCTTCTGAGGAGGTCCTGGAGGATGCAGGTTGGCTGCCAGGCACCTGACATGGCACAGAACTGGCAGCCCCTAGTCGGACAGCTCGGAGCCGAATCTGGTTAACAAGTCATCCCTGGCAGCAAGCCAGGCTCTCTTTATTCTAACAGCAGCAGCACCAAGTTGGATTGAATATTATTTAATGGAGGCCAGAGTCTTGACTGTCCAAATCAGAACGTTAGCTGGGCTGACCGGGCGTGGTGGGTCATGGCTGCTTCCCTGGTGAGTGACATCATGGGGCGATCAGTGGGCAAGGGACTTCCCCAGACGCAGGTCTCAGCCTGCGGCACCTGTTGAGTTTAAAACAAGCACCGCTGCATGCCGCCCACCCACCTGCCCCATGGTTCCAGGCGAGAGATCTACTGCACAGCTGAGGCTGCAGCCAGCACGCTCCTCCCAGGCTGTCAGGCATCAGCTTTAGAGGCTGGAGGTCGAGTCTGTAACAAGCACCTGGCGGCTGCTCCCTCTCCTCTGGGTGGTAGAATCCTGTGTCCCGCATCTCCCTTCTCAGAGGCCCACAAGTCTCAGGAGGGCCTCAGCCCAGGCCGGAGGTGTCATGAGTGGGATGCCAGCTGCTTGCCGGTGACTCTGGGTGGGTGTCTGGCGGGGGCCATCCTGGGCCCTGGGGAGTGGGTGTTTAAGCAGCAGCCTCCCATGCCAGTAGCCCCTTTCTTGGCCCATTTTCTGGGGCTAATCCTACAATAGCACCATCTAGGTAAGCAGTAGAGACAAGAGACATATTTTGACTCATGGTTTTAGAGTTCAAGGTGGAGGGGCCACATCTACCGATGGCCTTCTCGTGGGCAGTCCTGACGTGCCCAGGCAGCCTGTGGTGACGGGACACGTGTGTCTCTCTTCCCTTCTCTTTTGAAACTCACTATGACCTCTACACGAGTCACCTCTCAAAGGCCCCACCTGTGAACACCACAGTCCTAAGTTTTCACCCTCTTAATACCAGCTGGGGCAGATACACACCCTTCCTGAGTTGGAAGGGAGACCAGCTGTGTGCCAGTCAGAGCAACCTCCAACATTTCAGTTGTCACAAACAAAAAGAGCCACAGGGTCCTGTTTGCTTGGATTTTAAAAATTTATTTGTGGTGCACTGGAGATTGAACCCACGGCCTTCACACTGAGCTACATCCCCAGCCCTTTTAATTTTTTTGAGACAGGATCTTGCTACATTGCCCAGGCTGGGCCTGAATTTTCAACCATCCTGTCACGGCCTCCTAGAATGCTGGGATTACACTCCTGTCACCGTGCCCAACTTTGCCTGCGATTTTTAAAGGCATGGGCCTTTAGTAAGGTACAAACTTTTGTACCTTACTTTTGGCATGGGCCTTTAGTAAGGTACAAACACCATTTCTTGGTTTTTGCTTTGCTTTTGTTTTTTGAAACAGGATCTCGCTGTGTAGGTCAGCTGGCCTAGAACTTATCATATAGCCCAGACTGGCCTTGAACTTGTGATCCTCTGCCTCAGCCTCCCTAGTGTGGATTATAGGTGTGTGCTACCATGCCCAGCTAGGAACACCTGAAACATTTTCTTCACTCTGAATAGGAGACAGCAGGGAAGGAAGTTCTGTGGGCTGCTGTGAGTTGCCTGGCCCGGTCCCATGGTCTGTGTGAGAAACTTCCCTGAGGACCTGCAGTTAGGGGCTGTGGTGGCGCACACCCACGACCCTAGCACTCTAGGAGGCTGAGGCAGGAGGATCGAAATTTTGAGCCCAGCCCAGGCAATTAGGGAGACCTGTCACCCCCCAAATGTTTTAAAAAGGCCACCACTCACACCAGCCACTTCATAATGACACCAGATGAGATTCCAGGTCTCAGCGCCCTGTGCTCCCCAGGAAAACGTGTGGTGCATATGTAAGAATCCTATTATTTCTATATTTGCTGCCTTTTCTTTCTCTTTTAAGCTGTGACCTGGTAGGATGGTACGCAAATAGGCCAGGGTGCTGGTGGGGCTCAGGCAGCAGTTTGTGTGTGTCAGCAGGGGACATGCCTGTGATAGCCAGCAGTTACTTTTCTCAGCTGTTCTGAGAATGTGTGAGGAACCGGCCCTGTTTGTGGAGTTATTTTCAAATCACTTATTCAGGAGAAAAAAAAAGGTATCCGTTCAGGAGTGCACATTTCCTATCAGTCCCGAATAATTTAAATGCCAAATAAAAATTCATGTCAAGCAAATGTATTAATTTTTGGTCATATTTGGTTGAAAATGCAAATTCAGGGTCTGGGGGAATGGCTTGCTTTGTTGTTAAGAGCACTTGACTAGTTTGTGCCAGGCCCTGGCTTCCATCCCCGGCACTGAAAAAAAATGAACTGAAAATGCGAAATTAATCTTTTGAAACTAAATTTTCAGGCCCCCAAGGCTGTGGAGCTGATTCCCAGCCTGGATGTACAGCTGTGGACATCAGCTCACACGGGGGTGACAAAGCAGCTGGGAGGGGCCCGGTACTGGGGCAGCTTCGGCAGATGCCAGGGTCATCGGTATCGCTGTGACTGCAGGCGACTGACTCCCAGCCTCGGGTCCCTTCTTTTTTAAACAGGCAACAGAGAAACCTATCTCCATGTCGCCAGGAGGATTAAGCCAAGTAGGTAAACAAAATGCTTAGCACAGTGCAGCAGTTTAAATGCTTTCATCAGGCTTGAGCTATGAGCCATCATCACCGTCGCCAAGTTAATATCCAGGGTTAGTTGTAACACACTGTGCAAATCTAATTAAAACTAACATAAATACAAAAGAGGAACGCAGCCCTTTGTACAGAAAGCCTTCAACGTGCAAACAAGACGTGACCGAGGTTCATTCAGGCGGGTTGTTTGGAGGATGCTGTTCCCACAGCAACAGTAGGGTAGGACTCCAAGGTCTCACAGAGGTGGATCAAGCTGTAGTTACTGGAAAACACAGAATGCATGCTCTGACATGGTCAAAAGGTGATTCACCACTTTACTTGTAACGAAACAAAGTAGAAAAACAAAACTGATAAGAAGTCAATTATTTTAAATCTCATGGCTCAAGGAAAGCAGGATTAACTAGGGACCAAGTGGAGAAGCTGATGGGGGCTTTGGGCTTTGCAGATGAGGGCACTTAATCACAGGTTTTTCTTGAGGCCTGTGCACTATCCTAATTATATATATATATATTATTTTGGGACAAGGTTTCACTAGGTGGTTCAGGCTGACCTTGAACCTGCAGTGATCCTCCTGTCTCAGCCTCCCGAGTGCTGGGATTACACGCTTACGCCACCACCCCTGGCTCCCCAGTATATACTTACTACCTCAACACGGGATTCACTGGCCTACCAATAAAGACTACAGGAGAATGCAGGTTACTTTCCTGCGCAGAGCACACTTGAACTAGTGAGAGGGCCCAAGGGCATCCTGCAGGCCATGCAGTGCTGTCTCTGGTGAACTCTGGTTGTGCCAACAAGGCCAAGACTGGCCAGGAGCTGCAGTGTCTAGTCCTGTGTGCTCAGGCTGCACGGCCTTTGGCCGGAAGGTGCAGCCCCATCGCACAGGTACCATCCCAGCAGCGGAGACGCTGCCTTTTCCATCACGGGTTTACACGCGGCTGAGGCTTTCTATTGAGCCTGGAGTTCAGTGCTTGAGTCGTGTTTACAAAGGAACCCCAAGTTACCTGTGGGATTAGTTGAGCTAGCACATCCCTGTGCCTTACCTCATTTCCGTGAGACATGATCGAGTGTTAGGCACGAGAAGATCTGTGGTCAGGTAACTTAGCAACTCCCAGGTGGAAGTTAAATCTGCTCTAGGACCGAATCTTTAGTGTGCTCCTGCGCACTGTGAACGCTCAGGATCCAAATCTAGTATGGCTTTCTAAACCCAAGTGACCGTAAGTCCTCCCCCCTGGGGCTTTTCCACACACGCACTGTGGGGAACAAACTTGGGGCAAATCCCAAGTGCAGCCACCATGGCCACCACACCCTCTGAAGGCCCTGAGCTCTGACCCAGCGACACCCCCACCCAACTTCTGGAGCCTTCAGTTGATATCTAAAGTGCAGTGTGCATTTTAATCTCAAGACCTGGAAAAACCAAACAGATTTCTGACACAAGGAAGCTCCAGTAGCAGGATTTCAGGCACCTTTATTTACGGCAGATGTTTTTGGCCAGGGGGAAGGAAGTGGGGGGGAGGGGGACGACTGGGACGGGACACACAGGCGCCTCTGAAGTCTGACATTTAAGGAAGCCAACTCCTAAGATCCCATCTCTTCCATCCACGAGCAGCCTTATCACTTTCGCTTGCCATTCACAAGGCTCCAAAGTGTCCTGCATGCAGGCTTCTGCTGCCTGGCTCAGGTGGAGTGGGCCACTGTGGGGCGAGCTTAGTCTCACTAATCTGCCCAACTGCAGGACTGTGCGGCTGGGGAACAACTGTGGCAACTTTATTACAGAAAAATCTGACTGTTGTGTTCCTCATATAATTTATAAATAGGAAAAATATTTAATATTAAGTTTGCAATATAAACAAGCCCGGTGATACAGGAAACTTTAAAGAAAATCGTACTGGAAAGGACCGCACCGCCTCCAACTGTTTCGCTCATTCAGTTTCTGCTGGATGAAATCGCTGTGGTGACCACGTGGGTCACCTTCCAGGCCGTGGGCGCTGGCTGCGGCTCAGCACTCCTGACACTACGTTCCTGAGTAGCAAGACTACCTCCTCTTCTATCACCACTGATAAAACTGTTATTCTGCAAGAATTTGCAACAGAAAACCTTTTAAAAACTTGAGCCTACCACCGTTCATTCATCATATTCTAGCCAAGTGACTGGCACAGATAAATAGCTTTCTCTTCTCTCTTTTCCAAACAGCAGCTCAAAGAAAGGATGAGTAGTTGTTTCAAATTCCTGCCAGATTTTTTATGGTAACCATTGTAGATGAACAATGTAAGGTCCTACTGAAGTATTAAAATCTCATGCAAAACTCTTAATGAACGAAAGCCTCTGTACATCAGGCTATTCAGTTACTTTCAGTATTTAAAAAATGCTAACGCAGTAAAGTGGCAGTGGTTACTTCTCAGTGACTTTAGCATCTGATCCCACAAACTTACGTCATAAGTTATGGTTCAATTCTGAGTTTTGGCAACAGAGTAATGACAGATATTACTAAACAAACTTTTAAATGTTTTAGCCATTTGAAAAGTACAGTATTGCCGACACACTAGTGTTAGTTCAACAGTCACTTTGTGCTGAAAATGAAAGAACCTTAAACTCTACAAATACCTTACTTCACCAGATCTAACAATAATTGAAGGGCTTACCACTTATCTAGTGAAATATTATACAGAAACTTCTACGGAACAGCAACTACTACAAAACCAATGGCAGAAAAAAATGACTTCACAAAAATACACTAAAAAATTTGACAATTTTATGTAGGAACTGCCAAAGTTTTAGTGTTTAATAATGAAGAGCACAACTGACCAAGTTCCAAGATGTGAAGATACCACATTTGAGAAACTGAGGGGAAATCACTCTATAAACTAAGTATATGGGATGTGGTAAGAATGCACACTTTAAAATATAAAACCTGTCTACACATAGTGGTTAGTTGCAAAAAGCCATCTGGTCTTCTCTTGGCTTGGAAAAATGGTGTTCCAGATTTCAATGCAATTTATCAGCAACCTATTAATGAATGAAAAAATCATCAATGTGTTTTTCATCACATAATGACAAATTAAAATACACAGAATTATCAACTAAAAATCCTTTCAGAATCATCTACTAAACTTACTTTCTTTGCATAATATTTGAATAAAAGATTTAATTGGAAATTTAATTAAAAAAATTTTAATCCATTTTCTATACCTATCCCCTTCATTAGTAGCCTTGACTCTTAAATTCTCAACTGATGGGATTTCTGACTGCCACATAATATAAAGAGACCCCTGAGAAGCTTCCTGTAAAACACCTTCTAAATTATCTCTAGCTAACAATAAAGATGATGTAACACATACAGAGGAGCCACATGACTTTTCTCGCAGAGTGACTCAACCCAATCCACTGTTAGGTTTTAAGAAAATTTACTCATTTTAAACCTCCCAAACCTGGACCTCAGAGTCACTTTTTTCAGTTTCTGAAAATCTCATCTACGAAGTGTGCAGAAAATAATAAAGGAATTGGGCCTCTTTCACTGTATATTCTCTTTGGTACTCTCATCATATAAAATTCTCATTAAACTTTTACTTTTTGTAAGGCATTAAGACGGTACAAATGGGATGTGAGAAAAGTGAGTTGACAAATTACATTTTGGGTATAATGAGGACACTTCACTTCCCCCAAATACAAGCAAAGGCTTAAAACGAAGAAACCCATTATATGGATTACTTCAGATCTGATTTGCTGTATGGATATTTTAAATGATTAGTCTTTCCTCTGATATAGGAAACTATTCAGTGGAAACTTTTTTTTTAAGTTTATGTTAGAAACAGGGTCTCACTATATAGTTCAGACTGGCCTTGAACTATGTAGCCCAGGCTGGCCTCAAACTCGGGGCTCTCCCTGCCTCAGCTTTCCTATAATGGGATTACAGGCATGTGGCGACCATGCTTGGCTCACAGCGGAAATTTAATCAGGTCTAGAGTAAGGGTTTTATGTGGCCACAGTCTAATTGATACGTCACAAGTTTCCAAGAAAGTGCCTAAAATGTATAAAGTCCATGAGGTTGGGGTGGGGGTGTAACAAGAGATTATTTACTGGGATCATGGCTGGGAACTATAAAAGGACAACTACATCTAAATTATACTTACACATTAACTCTCTGTACTCTTCTTAAAAATTAATACAACTGTGTCCTTCCTCACCTTCAACTTTTTTGTGTGGCAGGTATCTTGTTTTCACCTTCCAGTTCCTCCACCCCAGCCTGTGTCATGAGGTCTGCGATGTTTTTCTCCAGATCATCAATGCGACTACTCATATCATCAAGTGGTGAAGTTAAAGACGATGTACACCAGCATCTCCCATTTGTTATCCTTTTCTTCCCGGGCCCTGCGGGCTACGGCCTTAAACGCCACCGTCTAAGGAAAATGGTTTCCCAGTTTCCTTTGGACATCGTTATAGTCTAGTCGTCAAGGTGAAGTCCCTGCCCTGACTTTTAGTAGTGACGGACCCCAGTAATTTCTCTTGCTTTTTACAACCTGTGTCTCCATTTGTTAAATAAAGATGGCAACCTTGTGACCTATTTATAAGATTATGGTTAGGATCTAAGGAGAAACACAAAACACTCAGCTCACAGCCATTAATACCCCGACCGTGGATTCTCTGAGCCAAGGACTGTGCAGCTCAGATGTCTCCCTATGCTCTTTCTCAGGAACGCAGTAGATCTAAGCTCAGTACAGAAATTTCGAAGTGCCTGGCTGAGGCTGGCCTGCAAACCACCTACTTAGCTCATCACTACCTGGCTCACAGGCCCCAAAGGCCCCTAAGAGGCTAAGAGTAAAAAGGATATTTCTCCCAATGATCTGGTCAGACATAGTCTGAAATTTATCTTGCATCTGCTGTAAGAGGGTCTGCACCTAAGGAAAAAAACCGAGATACACAGGTAAAATCCAAATTATCCCGCAAGTATACTAATTATCCCTTATGGGATGAGGCCCGGAGCCCTGGCCGGGCGCGGGGAGATCAGCAGTCTGGTTTCCGCCCCAGGCCTTCAGCCAGCGCGTTGAGCGGGGACTCGGTTTTCCCACCTGCCCAACCAGCGAGGCCCCTTCCGCTTTTGGCCGCAAGAACGCAGCGTGGGGGCGCCGGGCGCAGGGCGCAGGGGCAGCAGGCGGTTGCGGGAGGGGCTGAGCCCGGGTCACCCGAGGCTGGCGGCCACGCCCGGCAACAGGGTCAGGGCCCCGAAGCCTCCAGCAGCGGGGCCTCCGCCCCTAGGGGCGGGGGGCCCTCCCTTACCACCGAGGTGAGGTCCTGCATGGTCTTGGGGTCGGTCTCGGCCATCTCCCCGGTTCCCAGCTTGGCGGCGAAGTCCCCGACAGTCACCTACACTTCCGTTTGTCCGAGCCAAGGCCCCCAGCCGCCACTTCTCGTGACGGCTTGGACTACTCGCGGGACCGCAAGGCATTGTGGGGGTCGTAGTTCGCCTCACGCACAGGAAGGGCCGCGAGAGCGGGTACTTCCGTTCCGAGGCGAGGCTCCGCCCCGTGCACGTAGTTCCTCCCCTCCCCGCCGGCCCCGTGCTGTGCAAGCTCGCGGCAGAAAAAGGCAGACAAAACCGGAAATGAAGTCAAGGGGTCCGAGGGGCTTTGACCTCTTCCCGGGATCTAGTGAAATACATATGGTTTTCTTTGGCTTTAGCTTAGAGCGTGCACTTGTTGGATGCTTGCCTTGCAGTAAAACACAATGCTCCAGTGGATTGGGGTGTTTGGGGAGGTGGGACTGCTAACATGGGACCCCCCAAGCTCCAGCCACACAAATGGTCTTGGGAGTGGTCTCATCACAGGGGGAAAGAGGGTCCTGACTGTTGGTCTGACATGAACCACGATTGACATGTTGTGGGTCAGTTTTGGGGGTCATTTGGTCATTTGGGGGTCAGTGTTGGTTGGAGCTTTGCTGAAGGGAGGCTGAGGTCCACCAGCGTCTCTAAAGCAGCCTGAGACTCAGTTGCTTACCACACTATCTCCCCGTGCACCCTCAGACCTTACCTCGATCCTTGGACAGAGAGATCTTTCTATGCTACAAATGCAATTAAAAACAAAAATTATTGGTGGTTGCTTACTGGTGTTTGGTTAGTACTTTTTCTACTACTTGATATGAACATAAGTGTATTTTAACTTCAGAAGACCCCTATGCCATAGTTATCACCATTTTACGATTTTTAGAAGCTGGAGACAGGAGCTAAACTTCAGCAAGGTCGTTGGATTAAGAGATGCAGGACTTTCTGACTACATCTTTTTTCTTTTTCTATCTCTCTAGAATTCTCTTACGCTTTCTCAGTCTAGAGCAGGGATTCCCAACAGCAACACTGCTGGCATCTGGGGCCAGATCATTCTTTCTTCTTGTGGGAGGGGCAGTGGGAGAGGAAAAGCGCCCTGTGTACTGTACACTCGACCCACGACATGCTGGTGGCATCCCCTCCTTTCCACCCCTCCTAATGACTGCCAAAATATCTTCTGGCCATTACCAAAAGTCTGCTGTTGGTGGAGGCCGGCGGATTCTGAGGACATTGCCTAGGATTCTGTGCACACATTCTTCAAGGATGAATTTATTTTTGCTCAGGCCATTTTTGGAGAATGTTGAGATTGAAGGTTGGCATATTATTTTTTCAGGGCCACTGTAACAAACTAGGTGATATAAAACAACAGATACCTATCCTCTCATAGCTCTGGAGGCCAGAAATCTGAAATCATGGTATCAGCAGGGTTGGTTTGTTCTGAAGGAGAACCCTTTCCGTGTTTCTCTGCAGCCTGTGGTGGTCAGCATCTGTGGCATCCTTAGCTTGTAGCTGGATCACTCCAGTCTCTATTTCTATCTTCCCAGGTTTTTTTCTTTCCTTTTGCATGTGTCTCTCATCTTGTAAAGATACCAGTCATTTTAGCCTAAGAGCTCAGCCTTAATCCAATAAGATCTCATTTTAACTAATTAAAATAATGTTATAATCTGAGCTGCTGAGGGTTCGAACTTGAACAAATTTTGTTTGGAGGATGTTACAACCCGTAACAGTTGGTAAAGCAATATCACTTTACATTTGTGGCATAGTTGGTATTTTATTTCATTTTGAGACAGGGTCTCCCTATGCAGTTCAGGCTGGTCTTGAACTCAGTACGTAGCCCAGGCTGATCTCAAACCTGTGGCACTCCTGCCTTGGCCTCCCGAGTGCACTTCTTATTTTATGAAGAGTTTACATGGAACTCTAGAATCATTTCATGTGCAGCCAAGACCAGCAGGGCCTTAGTCTTCCAACTTTCGACCCTGATCACTCAATATTGAAGTCTGGGTAGCTGCACCCATGTTTTGATTGAGATCTGGCCGTGACCAGTGCAAGAATGCCAAATTAAAAAGGTCTTAGAAAGTTCATTTGTTTATTTGTTCCTTCCTTTCTTCTTTATTTACTTTCTATTTTTCTGGCAGGAGGTTTGAGATTTTTTTTTTGAAATCCTAATTGAAATTTTCTGAACATAAACAGAAAACAAACTTGACACTTTTAGTGAAGACTTTATTTAATTATTTTTTGCACTTAAAAGAGAAAAATGGCACGGTTTCTTTGTGTGGAGGCAGAGATTTGTTAAACAGCTGCTTTATGCAAAAGCTTCACTAATTTATGGTCATGGCTGATGCACCTGTGGGAACTGATGCACAGAACCTACCTGAATATTGTTTCATTAACAAAACCATTACATTCTGTGTAAGACACTGGCAATTAACCTTTAAACTTCAGTTGTGAATAACCCTCATTTTTAACTTTTAATTTAGTTCTGTAGTTGTCACATCTGCTCTTAGATTTTGGGTGGCACTCTTTCTAGATTAATGGCATACTGTAATTTTCTTTTTCCCTTTCAGGACAGTTTGGTTTTTCCTGAGGTTAGTATGGTACTTTTACACTAGCTCTTTGGCTCACACTGGGCCATTCTGAACACTGCTTTCTTGGATCTAAGGAAGGTCTTTATGTGAACCTGTGGCTACATGTGATGAGGTTTTTGTGTTGGCCTCACCTAAGCAGAGCAGGAGTGATCACAGCAGGCCCTGAGAGAGGATTCTGATTCGTTCTTTCTCTACTCACATCTGTGTCAGCCCTGCTGGGCCTCAGCTGGTCCCTAGTCCCAGCTGCGTTGCTGCCTGCTGGCCACGTGGCTGTCAGAGGTGCTGCTGCAGTCTCAGGGTGAGACCTCTGCCATCTGGTGGCCTGAGGGGCTCTGGCTTCTGACCCTTCCATGGCCATTCCAAAATTCCTGGCGTCCCCAAACCCATGGTTTTATCCCTGTAATTCTCAGAGGATAACATTATATTCTAAGAAGAAAAATACTTGTGGAGAAAATAGAATGTCAGTCAAAACCGCTCTCTGTGGACCCTGGCTGAGGGGGCAGCTCCAGAAGGGCCCAAGTCCCTGCAGGGACACCTTACTTGGGATGGTTTGAGAAACTGTGCCCCTACTCTGTCACTGTTTGGACTGTGTTGTTCTAAAGATGGGCTGAGACCAAGCACACATAGTAAAAATCCCAGGTAACCTTTATTTAAACGCTTCACACATGAATTACAAATTCCTTTGCAAAGAATTTGCTATGCTTTGCATAGCAAAGCAATGTTAATTCAGCTCAGAGACTAAGCACTTTAGCACCAGGGCCCAAAGGATTGACATCTGCAATAGTCAAATATTTTAAAATGATAAGTTTTTATCCCTTCTAAGTATCTATGAAAAAATGTACTTAAAATTTCTGAAAATTTTTATCTCAAGGGGTACAATAATTTTTTGCTATCAGCGCAGGGGAGACTTGTGCCTGACAGTTTTTCTTTTCCATACAGCCCACCTCCATTTCCAGCCCTTACTAATCAGCATGCACATCGTAGACTGAAGGACTTTATTAGTCCCTAAGGGAAAGGCTTTAGAGAAATAGGGGTTTTGTGCATGTGCTTGTCATTTTTTTATGAGGCTCTGTCTCCAGGTGCACAGTGCCAGTCTTACGCCCCCTGCTGAGTCCCACCATCTCCCCAGGGACCAGTGGAGACTCGGGAAGTCACACAGAGTGGTTCCAAGGCTTGTCAAGTTTAGCCAGCCTCTGACAATGGGTGTGGTGATAGTGACATAGCACAAGACTTTTCTGCTTACTTAGTGTCGCCTAAATTATTTCTACTAATAGATTATTTATTTATTTAGGTTTTTTGAAACAGGGTCTTGCTACGTAGTTCAGGCTAGCCTTCCCTCACTATGTAACCTAGACTGGCTTGAAATTCACAGAGATCCTTCTGCCTCAGCCTCCTGAGTGCTGGGATTACAGGTGTGCACCATTATACCCAGCTCTAGATTTAGTCCTAATTTATTGAATTCAAGTTCTTATCTGAAATTATCACTCACACTTCTATTTTCACCATTTTTCTCTGTCTCTAAATGTCTTATTTATGCTTTTATGGAGCATAGTCACAGCTGTGGAAGTTGTGCAGTACCTGGGCTTGTCCATTAGTAAAAGAAAATGTAGGATGGGCAACAAATCTGATATAGTACAAGAACTGTTCATTGCTTTAGAGGAACAATTATGAAGCATCTTGTCTGGTTTTGCAGCCGCGTTGGGTGCGGTACTATGAACACTGGGAAGAACACGGACTCTGGAACCAGGTGGCCTGCACTTTGGGTCTGGCAGCCGCTTACCATGGGTGAGCATTTGACTGTTCTCTTTGTCTGTCTGCAAGCTGAAGATGACGGCACTCACCCCCGGTTGCTGTTGGAAGAATTCGATCAGCTGCTATGTTAAAGGAGCTTGTGTAGTGAGGGCATGTAGTATACAGTTAATGAGAATCAGCCATTATTGGTGTTGGGACTTTTCGGTATCATGGTCAGACGTCCAGGAGCAGATTCCTTTCCTCAGAATCATCTGCACGGCAGTGGTGGGTACAACTGCTCCAGAGCCAGCACTGAACAGACTCCTTCAAGGTATTTTATGGTCACATCTCAAGATCAAGACCTGATGTATTTACTTTGGCTGAAATGAGATCTGATCTACTCCACAAGTTGTAGGGCGGGTGATTATTCCATTTACCAGACTGTTTTAAATGACATTTTGAAAGCCTAGAGTGAGTTAACAAAATTTCTCACACTGTCTGTAAGCATCAAAGTCTTATTTGATACCTACTAGGAATCTTAGCTGGTTTTATTTTGCTTTGATGTTCAGGTCTGCTGGTGCTGGCCAAAGGGCACAGCAGGTGCAGCTTCCTGACAAGATGCTCACTGGAAGAGAGCTGGCAGGACTGAAGGTAACTTTCATCACAATTACAGAACATTTACGGATTCTTATTAAAACAAACTAGCTGATACAATTAATTTATCATAGGTACAATGGTGAGAAATGTACTTTTTGATCAGTGAAGGTGGTTGATGTGTTAATAAAAGAAGCAAAGAAGGTGTAGCATTCCCTCAGTCTTGTACTCAGTAATTGATGTTTTGCTGGGCTACTGCTCAAACCTGGGGCATCTCAAATGCTAGGCAAGTGCTCTACCACTGAGCTACATCCCTAGCATGCTCAGTAATTGGGAGAAGTAGTTTCTGGTTCTTACTTGACTTTTTTTTTTTTTTAAGAACTTGGACTAAAATACTTGGTAACAATGTCTTATTCTATTTTTGCCTTCAGTAAACAATGTAATTAATGTATTCTAGCATGTTAAATCATCCTATGATTCAGGAAGCACTACCAATTTAGCTTCTATGAATTGGTCTATTATGATGGACATACCCATGTCTTGATAAGGGAAGCTGAGGCATACCCTATTTATTAATGAAGTGTACGGTTTACCCCTACTGTTCCACTTTCTATGGTTCTATGGGATCCCAGTTCGTGTTGTGTAGTGCAGGCGAGCCCACTGGAGAGAAGAGGAGTCTTGTCCTGATTTTTTTAGTGAAGGGGCCACGCAGCATCTGTGTTTCTCCTACATATGGGTCAAGCTCATGCTGGAGGGTGAACTTTTCAATCGTCAGGTAGTATGAGTCAGGCTGCCCACCAGTTGGCCATCTCAGGATGCTTCTTGGCCTGTTCAAGGGTGTGCATTCTCCTCTTACCTCAACGGAGGAGGGCAAGGAGGTGCATTAGGCAGGCACGTGGTAGTGCCCTGGAAGGCCAGAGGAGGGACTGTCCTGTGGTGTCATAGTGCAGGCTTAGACTCCCTTGCCTTGTACAGGGGCTGCTCACTTACGGAAAACAGTCCTGTTATGTTCAACGTGTGGCATCTCCTTCCTCTGCAACAAGACTTGTTCAAGAGTGGATCCCATGCCTTGGCACTATGGACACATGAGTGTGCTTGGCCACTTGGTGACCAAAGTGCGGATGTTCCCTGGGGTCTGTGAATATGGAATCAAGTTCGCAGCTGACTGTGACTGCTTAAATCATGTCCTTAAGTTGGACAAGACAAGCCTAGTTCCCACCCTGTGAGTTGGTGCTTCTGGCTCACTTACCTAACAGCAGTGTGCAGGGGATCCCAAATGGTTCACAGATGTGCCATTCTGCATCAGTGACTTTAGACACAATGTAGAAATCAGAGAAAAGCTACTGTCCAGCAATTTTAACCACCAATACCCATTTATTTCAATGGAAAAAAACACCTCTGCATTCTATATGTTCCAAAAAGATTTACTATTGAAACAAATACAATATATGGAACTCTATCTGCATAATTCCACTACAACAAAGACAACATATGACTTCTACTTCCTACAGAAGGCAAACTGAAAAGCACAGGGGCAACATAGATTGCATAAGAAAGCGTGTGTGTGTGTGTGTGTGTGTGTGTGTATGTGCATGTGCGTGTGTGGTTAAAACCTTTAGTAAGCAACTGCATTAAAATATGCTAAGACACTTACCTTACCCTAGTTTGTGGCAAGCTCTAATAAAAAGCCACAGGCTGTCACTAGTTTCATTTGATAGAAAAATTTGGTGTGAGCTTTGATGGTTCATTTACAGCTTATCAACAAGAAGATAATCTTAGTACAAGCACTAACTTTCCTCTCACTTTTACATGCTCACAGAATAAAAATCAATTACATTTCAAACATCATGAACATCTTTTATTGTCAGGTTTGCAAACAACGGTAGTCAATTCACACAAAAGGGTACTTTTAAAACTACCTGTATTTACTCTATTTTATGCCTGTATATATGAAATGAACAGTGGGTATATGCATAAATGTATGTCTATACATGTGGGTATATATGTGTATACAAGATGGTACCTGCTGGCTTCTTCATGTGGACATTCAACCTCCAAACTGACACCTGCAACTCTGCACATACTGAGGAGGGACAGATTTCCTACCATGATCCGTGTCACCATAAGAACCAGTGGGACTATGGATTCAGGATGCATACAAATGCAGACGGATGCCCATGAAAGAATAGTTCAGCCCTTTTCTTGGCATTTGTTGGCAAGATCTCCTGCCCTGCAGCTCACCGCCTTGGCTAAGGATCACAGCGTTTGGTGGCAATGGGAATTGGTGGCAGTCCTCATACTAAGGACAAAAGACGTTCTTCTTTGCCCTCCCTCTCTGCGGACCTGCCTGGCTGGTCAGTCAGCGTTCAGCGCTCAGACTGGACAGGCTGGTGGAGATGTAGCTTCGTGGTAAAAGTGACTGCTCTGTGGCCTGCATTGTGCTGAGCTTTTTGCTAAGGTCCTTGAGGGCTCAGGTGTCTTAACTTCTAACCCTCTCTGCTTAACCTTTCGAGGAAGAACAACATATCAAAACTAGGCTTCTCCTGTATAGTCTCTCTATATAAATACCGTGTATATACACATACAGATACTCATACATATACAAATACGAACCCACAGACACATCTGGATGTGTGCAGCACTGGCTAGCAACATGTCAACACATCAGAAAAGTAGTCATTGTTCCTGCTCCCAGAAGCTCAAGTTATACGTCATGATCTTTAAACATTCAGCGGAAATTCAGAGGGTTCCATTAATCAAAGGAGGAAAGAAGATGTTCTCAAAACAGTGAAGTACAGACCAAGTGAAATTGCAAAGAAAATGAAAATCAGAACAATTGAGGCCTAGTTGTGAAGTTCAATAGCTGTAAACGGCAATCTTCAGATTTGGATAGAGATTTTTTTTTTTCTTTTTTTTCCTGTTGCTATGGAAACTTGGGAGTCAAGCTTCAGATGTCAGGAGTTCTCACAGACCTGAATGGAGAAGACTCAGAGTTAGGTCAGGAATATCACAGCTCAATTCAAAACGTTTTAACTAAACCCTGGATAAATGACTGGCAAAGTATAATAACATCAGACTTTCCCCCTCTCCTCTAGCATGATGTTTGGAGACAGAATAAGGACTTCTGCTGGTTTATGTCTTAAGAAGCTGGGCTTAGGGCTGAGGCTGCAGCTCAGGGGTAGAAAGTGCGCTTAGCCCTGGGCTCCAGCCCCCTCCACCAAAACGCTAGTCTTCTCTGAGAATGCTAATGACGACTACTGATGCCAAACATCTCTGAGACCAATAGCAGCTATTAGTTGCCACAAATGAGCCTTATATCATGTACATTAGCACAGATGTGCTATGTTATGAATGAGCTGATTCTGTAGCTCAGAGATTGATGACTGTCTCATATATACATAGTTATATAGTCACGCAGCAATAGACATGTTGGTGGTTCTTCAAACATGGCGTGTTATTTTCCTTTTGCTGCTGTAACAAATGGCCACAAATATAGTGGCTTGAAACAAAACAGATGTATTATCTTACAGCACTGCAGGTCATTGGTCTGAAATGAGTCATAAATGAGCAGATCTGTGTTCCATGTAGAAGCTCCAGGACAGAATCTCTTTCCTGTCCTTTCTCAGCTGCTAATACAGGCCACCTGTATTCCTTGGACTGTGGCCTCTTCCTCCATCTTCAAAGACAGTGAGGTTGCCTCTTCTGTCTTTCCAACTTCTAACTTAATCACACTTGCACAGTCTCTCCTACTGGGTAAGGTGACATGTTTGCTGGTTCCAGGGATCAGGACATCTTTGGGGCCCTTGCTCATCCAACCACAGCTGGGAGGCATTGTGCTTCCAAGAGGAAACAAGGCATCAGTTGCAGAGGACTGTAGGCTATGAGACCAGGTAGCTCAAGGGGCAAAGTCAGAATGACATCTGGGTAGGGTGATTTAAGAGCCCTGTATTCCATTTTTGGTGCATGGCTCCTCCTGCAGGCCAGTGAGAGGGCAGCCAGTGAGAACCTTGTTACCTGCTCTGCTCACCTGGATCAGCAGGGGTAGTGTTAGCTTGGGGAGGAGCTTTGTCTGTCTACGATGTCCAGATCCAGTTTAAAATGAAGTTTTGTTTTGTTTTGTTGACTGGGAATTGAACTCAGGTCCTCCTGCATGCTAGGTAAATGTTCTACCACTGAGCTATACTCACACCCCCTTTTAAAATTTATTTTGAGACAAGGTCTCACAAAGTTGCCCAGGCTGGCCTCAAACTCACGGTCTTCCTGCCTCAGCCTCCCAAGTAGCTGGGATTGCAGGTGTGCACCACTGCAGTCAAAACAGAGCAATTTTTACTACCTACTTCTGGCAAAGTGCTTCTGTATCTGTACAGTTTTCACAAATAAAAGCACTGGGGGGCTGGGGATTTAGCTCAGCGGCAAA